ATTGGCTTTCCCTGTAGATAAATGGACAGAAACTGCCAATCAAGAAGAAGAAGGCCACCCAAGGAGAACGGCGGCAGCACTCACACCACCCATGCGGTCAATGCATTGCGAGTTTGGGGGTTACTTGCAGATTGCAGATTGAGGATTCGCGATCTTTCATTGGTGCTGACTTACAATTACATCTCCCTCGTTTTCGCACGCAGCAACCCGCACCTATTCGTTGGCGGACTACGTCTGCGAATTCGTGAGGATTATAAAGGTACATGAGCTACTCAGCTCTTAAAAATAATGGAACAAGCCGGGAAACGAAGGACGAATTTGCCTGAGGCAAAGAGGGAGCAAGAATCAGCGCCTACATAGTGCATTGTGCTCAAACACGGTAATGAAAAGAGTGAATACAGTTTGTTTGTAATCCAGGGCTTATTGTTAGGTGGATACATAATTTTGCACTTTTCTCAAAGAAATGAATTGGCACAATGGGGGAAGTGCAGCGCTGAAAGTGAGATCATGTTGAGCGTTCTCCGAAAACCAACCCACTTTTGTGCACTAATCGGTTGCTCTTACGTCATTTGTCCGTTCCACATTTCTACAGCATTGAAATACCGTCAAAGGAAGCAATCAAGCTGGCTTCCAAGCACAGTTCAGTTCCCCGCGTTATCAACCGAAGGACTCGAGATAAGAGCTGACATAGAAAAAAATTGGAGGAGCGTTGTCCCATATATACGATACGATAATGTGCAGCTGCTTGACTGGTGCATTTCAGCATGATCTTGCGACGATAGCGGTTAGCTATCACAACAATTAGGTGTTGCAACCCTTCCCACGTTCGATATGTAGGTGGTGCTGGGTTTTGAAAGTGGGTTTCGGCGCCTTATCGCGCCACTGATAAGGCGCCTACTGTCCCTGAAGTGTCAACGACCACTCATTGAGTAAGACTTCTACCCATTCACCTCCTCATTCGTCCCATGAGACATCACGACCATTTCCTTTGGAGCTTTGGCAGAACGTGTGTTGTGTTCAGATCCAGGAGAAATGGAAACTTCGTTATCCTGAATACGAAAGGAGTACGGGTCGAAGTAGCCATATGCAATGAGGCGTAACCACCGAATGTGCTTTGGGGGCTCGAATATCCGAAAACCTGCCTAATGATTTTCTGAGCGGAGCCAAGAAGCAAAATAGAGCAGAGGTAGTGGTCTGCGCTCACGGGCGAGAGGTCGTTGGATCGATTACCTGACGGATGATCTGACTCCGATTACCCTGGCATTATATTTATCTTCGAAAGATGAATATTACACTTGTCCGCTGCAAAAGGTCTGTCAAGAAACCTACGGGCTCCATGTACAGCCGTTAGCTGCGCCCAAACTTGTTAGGCACTCCTCGCACTCTTTGTAGCTAAAGGCAAGCGTTGACCAAGTGAGGTACTTGATAGCCTTTTCAACTGAATTGCCACGAAGGCAAAATGAAGAGTCGGGGAATAGGTCCTATGACGTTTCTCCCCTGAGCTCAGACCACTCACTAGTCGTTGCTCTATTTTGCTTAATAACTCCCTTAAAGGACACATTAACTCTGAAAAAGGCCCCATTTCAAATTAAGTTAGAGATGCTCAGTGATGCACGAAAGAAGAAAAAACTGAGGAAAATGGCCCAGAAGCCGTGATCAGCGTCCAAGAATACATCCAACAGTGTACCTCTCATTACATATAGCCACATCGACCCATCATTCTTCCCTAGTAAGCAGTATACCGGTGGCATGGGTCCACGTGACAATCGAGTTTTCAGCGAGCCTCCCTCATAGTTATATCCGATCATTTCAGGCTCGAAATCGATGGAATCATCAGCAGAGGTCATCCGTAGTACTGTAGGGGATTGACAAGCAAAACCTTCGTTGTCTAAGTTTTTTTCTGTATCGACCTGCCAACAACTCTAGAAGTGGAGAAAAAGCGATGCCTGTTCTCGCTTCTTCAACATAACAACCGATCAGCTTCATTTATGACATTCCTTATCACTTCGAATCTGGAGGCATTATACCTCTCGGTGCTCTTTTTGTACGTGTAGTCGCATTACATCAGCATTTACATGTAACCTTTATTCATATAGCAATAATTATAATGTATTCTTCGGAAAACAAGCATAAACATTTGTCGTACTCTGTTTCGTTACTTCAGTACCTTGTAAAAAGTTGAACACCTTCTTACCTACCCGTATGAAACTAACGAATAAAGCAAAGAAACAATGAGGACAGTAGGCACCCAACATGAGACAATTTTAATGATGATGAATACTACGAGGAAAATGTTCTCGAGAATTGAATAAGTACATTCCATAAATAGATCAATAATAGGATGGAACTATCGTCACTTTGAATCTTACAGTCGATGAATTTTGGTCCTGAATGTGAAACTAGCTAGAGCAGGTAATTCAGTCGTAACTTTATGAGGCACATCAACTCAGAGCCAGGTGTCTCGGATCTTTCGCTCCAACATTATGCGCTGTTCCAGGATTACGCACGCAGAACGGTCTGAGGATAGCTAAGAGGATCAGGGAGCCAACAGTTGATGCATAACTTGGAATCAATCGAGTCGCGCGAATGGTTGAGTCCAAACTGCCTGCGTGGGTGTAGCGACGAAATCATGCAAAGTGGCGCGCGAGGAGCTGCGATTCTGTTTTGGGTGAAACACTTATAATAAAACCTTTTAGAGTGTTTCGCTCTTTGCCGAAATGTTCCATATAGACCACAAAACAATGTCTCCTTTTCGCTATATGGCTCAACCTCGCATTTTAGGTATTGAAGTCAGGATCATGTTAAAGGCAAGATTCGGGATAAAATAGGTGTGGAAAAGCGTTCAGTTATGAAGCTAGAGGTGGGAGGTGGTCTGGAAAAGAGAAGGAAAGCAAACGAAACCACCGATTACGCCCCGCACAGAGACCTCCCCTATTTCAGCCGCATTCCACCTTGGGATAGAGAAGGGGCGCGTTGGACGAGTTTCACGAACCTAACTCTAGTTGCTCCAGTGCCAATGACATTGGGTCGCAATGGGACCGCTGCCTCAAATGCGCCCGCGCTTTTCAAGCAGCGCCACGTGGCAACCGACAGCGGAGGGTGGGGCTTGCGGACGAAGGTGTGAGTTGCGGGTCGGACGAGCTCCTTGCGCCTTTGTCGCGCACTTTCAAGCCGCAAAAGGGGCGCGACATCAAGGCCTTGTAGGCCTGCCTACTACGCTCGGGTCTGAAACAGGCGGGCGTGTCCGTGCCTTCAAGTCAACAGAAAGCAGCCAACATTGAATGCAAATTTTGACGCCACGGGGAATAGAATAAACCTTTCTTGTATCATTGCCCTACTTTTTTGATACTACTAAAACCGTTCAGCGAAAACGAAACATGGTTTTGTGGTCCATACATGCGTCCCTACAATATGCAATAAACCGTTTCAAAAGCGCGGCTTGCCCTGAAAGACCTCTTGTTGGTTGTCATGGGGGGGGGGGGGGAGGGTACGCGTAGTCAACTACGACACGTTATTTTAATTTCAGATTACTTGTCGTTGTGTCTAGTAGGCGAGTATCTAATAAGTTTCGTAAAGCGAAGATGAAATAAGCCGTCCACATTAACCCGCTAACCCAACTCCAGTGGTCTAAGCCTCGCATCAGATTCCATTCCAAAGCTCCGGAGGAAGGAGGGAAGGTGAAGAGAAAGAAGGATTCGAAGCAGTCGAAAAGTCCGAACTGGAGAGGTGATGCTGAGAAAAGGGCAGCATCACGTCTGCTCAATTCCTCTTCGCTATTTTTCTACCCTCCAAACAATCCTACGAGCGAATACCGTCCTTCTCCCTGGCTCCTTGCCTTTGATCAAGAATTACAGCAATGACTAAACATGACGGGTCCTACAGTTGACACAGGTACAGTATACTATGTACCTCCGTGCAGTAGATCTGCGGTCATAATAACTACTACTGCAAGCCAGCACCCCGACCGAAAATTTCGAATTTAGGGAATTTTGTGATGGCAAAAGCTTTCAAGAATTCTAATTTTTATTTCATCTTCAGAAGCCAACAATTCCCTACTTCGAGGCTATAGCGTAGGAATAATGTGCTCTTTTTCAGGCGTGAAATTTTTTGTGAGTGTTTCGAAAATCAAAGTCGAAAATCTGATTTTTGAAATGCAAAACGATATTCGCCAGAGTCTACAGGCTTGAGTGTACTGTACATGAGCCAATCGGAGACCTGCCAAGATGAAGTCAGTGCCTCTTTGTCACAAAAACTCAAGAAGCGATTAGTTGAGCAATGTGGCAGCTACAAGCTACAACCCGTAGCCTATTGCACCTTTCAGAACGGGTGCAGTTGCGCCTTTTTTGATGGCGGAGCGTTTCAGACGAATTCAATCTTTCCAAAGCTTGGAGATTCTGCCTCGATGTTTGCTATAGATTCAGCAGTCATCTGAGAGTTCTCGATCAGTGTCATTCGTCGTGACATCATCTTGCGAGTCCAAAGCTGAGCTGAAATTGGAAACGTTGTTCAAACATTGATTATTGTTCAAATTAGAGACATCAATAAATGTTGAAATTGAAAGAGATTTTCATTTGACAGAACCATTTTTATCGAAGCGTTAGCAAAAAAGAACTTAGACATTTGAAGTCGGTCAAATACAGCCATCCAAAAATCGTACGGCATGATAGCCTGAGAGTACACGATTTCTGGCTGTTTCATGCGCTATTCGGTCTCAGGACATCTGTCAACCGTGAGCCTTGGCGGTTCAGCGTTTTGTAGTGATGTCTGGGAGCTCTCACAAGTGCACACTATCACACATCTCCTCTTTCTTTATCTTCTTCAAAAGGCTTAGTCCCAATAAGACACAAAGTGTGTGCTTTTCCAGCTACGCTCTCACCCTTTGGTTGACAGAAGCCTTGTAACCGCGCTATTCGCACCGCAATTGGAGCATGATCGTCCGCTGAGAAAACACATGCAGAATTCCTTTCATGATTTTTGGAGCAGGAAGATCGTAATTTTTACAGAGCTCTACATTGGTATCTGCTTCCGAAATTGGCCTGGCGCACTTGAGAACAAAACCCGCTCTCCCATGATAACAAAAGTTATAAAAACACAACCATTCGAAACCACATGGAAAATGCAGTGCAACCATGTAAAAATCGCTACGCGATATATGTTATCTTTTCCCAAATTGTCACCCCCACAATCTGCCCTATCGATGATTGCTCGACTTTCAACAGGTGTCATGTCGCCGAGGTGACCAGGGAGGACCATTTATGTGTGCTGTAAAATCACCACATCCGACACGAGGACGCTGACAGTCCAGTGGTGCTCCTTTTTATTCGCTCACTAGCATGATGCCGGTGAGAACCGCTGCACTCACCACAGTTTGGTATTTTTTGTATTATTTCGCGTTTCTGGGAACTCAGCAAGATTAGGCGCTTTACCGGGTGAGCTACAGAGCTAGGACTTCGAACCAGTTTCAGGTCCTGAAGACGACGAATTGTCGAAACGTTGACCAATAAACGTGTTCCACCATAACAACCTGTATGGCACAGAAGAAACAACACAATATTCGAAATGCCCAGGTTCCAAGAAAACCGAACATGGAATTTATTGAAATGACTAGGGAGTTTTTTAGATCACACCATCCAACATACCATTCATTGGTTTCTTCAATGACTCTCTAAGATATCACAAACTTTCAAGTTTTTCCGAGTTATTCTTTTCAGTTTCTCGATTTTCCAGCAAGTTTCCTTCATACCGTTTCGTAACATGATTTCTAGACTTTTAGTATTCGCGATCTTTTAGATCAAAATGTTGTAGCTCGACGAGAAGAATTTAACGGTCCAGATTTTTCTACAGAAATTGAGGAAGGACAGCCAAGTCGGAAAAACAAAAAAACGCGAAGTCGTGTCTTTGTTGTGATTTTTGAACAATTAGGGTGGGCATTGTAGTTGTTGCACTGTCTTGCTACTCCTTTCAGGCAAACGGTCAGATTTAGGACTACACTCATCTGCGGCAGTTGATTCATTACTTTACGAGAAGCTCTGCTAGACATAAACCCTGTGCGCTGACAAACCCTAATACATGCAATCCTTGATAAAAAACGGGCCCTTTCTAGATTCGAGACGAGGAGATTCGGGCCTCGTCGAGCTACAACATTTTGATATGAAAGATCGAGAATACTAAAAGTCTAGAAACCATGTTACGCCGAGCCTATTTAACCTTCCGTCAAGATAAAAACAAAACTTACACAAAAATTGGTACATCTCTTTTCTCAACAATGGCTGGCAGGTGATGTAGATGGGGAGCCTGAGACAGGAGGCGATAACAGTAAGAAGTGAGAGCACTGCCACTGAGAGCACATAGAAAGGAAGATATCTGAAATACGAGCTGCTTTTCCTGCTTGCACGTCAGCGACAACTTGATAGCTCACTTTTGAAAAAGGCTTGCCGCATCGAGGTACTCCCAGATTGTGATGATAACCGAAAGCAGGTTACTCATCAAATATGTGCACACAAGAATGATAAGTGTGCGTGTGGCGGCACGTATCCGAGCCTGAATTGTGTGAAGCATCATGCTCAACTACCTAGCAGCAACTCTTATTCCCAGCCTATATGTGATAAATGATAGTACCTTTTTCTGCTTGAAGCTCTGTTTGTCTTCGACTAGGGCATTGGACTTCGACAAGCTTGAATGTGCCTGCAGCCTGCAATAAGAACAACTGATCTGATTGTAGCCACCGTCGTTCACGGTCTTTCTTCAACCTGTGAAGTTGGGTTTGGCGCGGATATTGGCACAATTTCCGAAACTTTTTTTGCATGGCGTCGCGTTTGCATCTACAGGGTTTGATAATGTGGCTCTTGAGAGTATATGCGATGCATTGTCTGACTTTGTTCAGCCAAAAGGTTTTCTGGGACATGCGGAGGGCTATAAAAACGAATTAGTCCATCGCTGCAATGTCCTAGGTTATGTTCCAAATGCCCTTTCGAATGATTTTTGAGACTAGCGATTGGGTAATGGAGAAGAAGCCGACTACAGTCCGATGTCCTCACCGTTGTTGCCCAAGTGTTACCAGGTTTCACCTTTCGCGCTTCCATTATTAGGATTAAAGGCAGCGATTACGATAGTTTCAAGAAGGGTTCAGAGAGACGTGGTGGTGCTCAGTGGTACGCCAGTGGCGAAAAAAGCAGAGAAATCCGTCAAGAAAACGCAAAACGGGACCCCTTTTTTGGCCGTTGGTTTTCACTCATGAACAGGTAACAGCTCAGAAAGCGGACGTATGAACGAGTTCAGCGCAACGCGTTTGGTGGCACCATGCCAAACCACGCTCCGAGTTGCTCCAGTTGTGCCGCTGCTGGCAACGCAGCTCGTCCAAATCACCAACTAAACTAGTGGGCGGATCGCTTTTGGGGGCGGAGTGCTTTCGAAGCTCAGCAACCAGCGCACCTTTCGTCGTGAAAGCGCCACATCTCGCTTCCTTGGCAGCCAAGTAACTGATTCGTGTGGTGCATATGCTTCCCCGATGCGCTCCCTCTTTATCGTAATCGCTGCCTTTAAACCGATGGTACGCTTGTTTATCGAGACGGCTGAAGGAGAGAAGGGGGAGCCTAAACACCTGATTCGGCGCTAACTAGGAACTGTTCTAGAAGATAGCCGCGACACCTCGGTACGCTTTGAGTGTGGCCACGCCTTGATATTACTACAGTAACTTGTTGAAACATTCGCCAACCAAGCCATTACTCTAACCATAAGTTCTTCAACGGAGGCCATGAGATTTATGAGGTGGGCACCCCGTCATTTCGCTGTGATGTATCGTCGCCTTTGATGTATAGCTA